GAAAGAAAGAACGAGAAAGAAACTGATCTGGTGCTAGAGTTTTGGGGTCATGCAACAGTGTTCTTCTTGGCTTTAGATCACTAGCCAGGGTTCAAGACAGAGGTGATAAATAGCATGTCATTTTCATTGGAAAAATAGTATAGAAAAAAGCTGTCTTTTTCACTGATATCAAGTATAGGAAATTAAGAGAAAAATCTATATTATACTGCTCAAAGCATTGAGTGGTTTCTATTTCCCCAAATTAAGTGATTTCAGGTTCCCAAAACAGATGAAAAATTACCTTGTGCTTGATCCTATCCACCCGGACATCCGTTTCTGTTTCACTGGGTTTTGAATCTTCAGGGAAACTAAACTGTTCGTTTTCATATTCATTTAAGATCCCGTGCATCACCTTCAAGTGTGTCTTCAACCTGCAGAATTGTACAAAATGATGAAGTCAAATTATTTAAAAGTATTGAATAATTATTAAACAGGTATTATGTCTATCATATAAAATGAACAAATCTAAATTATGATCCTCTCCTACTTGTTCCTGTATAATAGTTTGAAATCAGACTAAATAAATTTGAGTCTTAGGTAAGTAACATAAAACAATTTCAACACAGGATAGAGACTTACTATTGTAATGATGTAGAATTCTTATAAATAAGGTATTATTAATATACACTTTAGAATGTTAATATAAAACATTATCCTGCTATTAAATATCAGCCATAAATCAGAGATCAGTATCCAAGGGAAAGAAGGAAAGCATAGTATATATGGATGATTTGAAAAGACACAAAAATACCATTTGGTACCTACTGACTACAGTCTCCCAGAAGAAGAGAAAGTACCAACAGGACATCGTTCAAAGTAGAAAGAGAAGCAGGAAGAAAAACCTGAAGTCTGAGCGGAGGGAAAGGGAAAGGAGCAGGGCTTTAGAAGAAGGAATTCAGAAAGATAATACGTAAGGGTCACTAAAGGCGGTTTCAAGAAGAGATCTTTGCTAGCACAATGTTAGCAAAATGAGAAGAATACAAAACAGTGCAGAGAAAGGCAGTTCCATGAGACAAAAAACACTGAGGAGAATCAGAGAAAAAACTTCCTTTGGGATGCAGCAAATGAACTATAAAGGAAGCCACGTGGGGGATTCCCAGGCATCGGGGAAAATTCCCTTATTATCTGAGTGGTAAAAACATGATTCCTCATCTCATTCTTCTTTAAGTCACTCATATAGTTTTGTATGGATGCTACATTTTATAACTGAAAACAGTAGAAAGTACACATCAGCCAAATCAACAAAATTTCTGATGCTGTTAAACAGTAACAAAGATATCGTTTTAGGCATTAAACTATAAAAACACTAAAGGGAAGAACACTACTAAAAGAAGGAAAGATTACCAAAGAGAGCAAAGACACCCTGTGGCAATATATTTCAAGGTAGACAATGAAGCGTGCAGGTGACATTCTATGCAAAAGACGCTGTCATTATAGTTTTAGGAATCATGAAAGAGTAGGTATACTATGTTGGCATTCAAACAAGTTTGATTTGTTTGATTTGAGTAAATTTTTAAGTAGGAAAATTTGCTTAATTATGAAAATCACAGATGTGGCATCAATTTGTAGTTAGGTTTTAGTCAAGTAAAATTATAGTTAACTCTTAATAATGGTTGAAATACAAAATCTGAAATACTAAAATCTTACCTGGCAACCTCTTTTTGTAATTTCTCATTTTTCTTCTTTTCTTGGTGGAAACTAGATTCCTGAGATTGTGTTAAGCCCTGGTAGTTCCTGAACTCTTCTTTTTCATCCTCAGGCTTTGAGAAACATTTTTAAAGAAAGTTATTTTTAAAAACCTAGAGTCTCAGTCTTCGTTCTTTACAATATTATTCCTCATGAGTTCACGAGTACCATAATATGTATTATGTGTAGACAGGTTTATAAAACATAGTTTATAACCCTTATGCCAATAAGGACGGGTTTCAAAAACAATGTCTTTTCATAAAACAACTGAAATTGATTTGACAGTGTCATCATTGCTTTCCTGGAATTTATTGCTCAACTTTCTTAAACACAGAAGTTTTTACATGTAAAACACTAAGTGTTGATAAACTGTTTTAAATAGTGTCTATATTTACATTTTAGTTTCTAGAAATGCCCCAGAGACATTTTCATCAACCATTCAAGATTTTACAGGATTTATGAAATCACATCTTACTAAAATAATCTTTGAAAACTTCCCATGCAGTCCACCTTACATTGTGATGATAATCTGACTTGAGCATCAGATGAAGACTCTCATTCTCTGTAAGCATTCTCCCATAGGCTGCAATTTCTCCTTTTCTAGTAAAGACTTTTCTCTTTAAACGTTTATCTTCTCTATATTATATAAAAACATAACTCTGTCTTGATTCTTGTAACTTTTTCTTCCTGACATCCTGTTTTTCCCCTTCCATTGGAACTATAACCTTCTTTATTGTGTGGCCTCATCCACATGTCCATATTTTCACTTCTCATTCTCTGCTTTTACATAAGAATCTGGCTTTCTGTCCCATAATTGCACTAAATGTTTTTTGAAGGTCATCTCTTCCTTTAGTCCTCATCCTGCTTTACTTCTTAGGGGCCACTGATAAGAAAGACCACACCCTTTCTGTGGTCTTCTAAGCCCAGTTGATTTCTAAAGAGCAGACCTGATATTCAGTCCTTGACCCTTTCAATTCCTCTTTTAAAATTCTCTCAGCAAAAAAAAAAGGTCTCAGGGTTTCTTAAATCCCAGTGCTTCAAACCAGATTTCCTAATCTGCATTGCCAGCCGTGCCCCCTTTACTGAGGTCATCTGTACTTTGATTTCTCCCCTCTAGTTCCTCATAGACAATATCCTGAACCACACACTCATAAATCATGACTTGTTGTGGATTAGCTTATCTTGTACATTTTATGTTGATTAAGATGTATCTTGGTCTAGGCTTCTTTGGGCTCATCTTGTTTGGGACCCTCTGTGATTCCTGGCATTATGTGTCTATTTTCTTCACCAAGTTAGGGAAGTTTGCAGTCATTATTTCTTCAAGTATGTTTTCAATTCGTTGATTTCTCTCTTCTCCCTGTAGTACTCCTCTGGAAAGAATGTTGGTACACGTGATGGTGTCCCAGAGGCCCCTTCAACTATCCTCATGTTTTGGATTCTTTTTGCTGTTCTGATTGGGTCTTCTCTGCTACTCTATCTTCTAAATCACCGATTCGATCCTCTGCTTCATCTAATTGGCTTTTCATTCCCTCGACGACATTCACCTTTTCACTTGTTTTATTCATTACTTCTGACTGGTTCATTTTTATGTTTTCTATCTTCATTTATATGTTTCATATCTCTTAGCTGAAGTTCTCCCTGAGATCACTGAGAATCTTTATAACCAGTGTTTTTAACTCTGCATCTGATAGATTGCTTGTCCTACCTTGCTTAGTATTTTTCTGGAGGTTTTCTCTGTTCTTTAACTTGGCATATGTTTCTTTGTCTCCCCATTTTGGCTGTCTACCTGTGCTTATTTCTATGTATTAGGTAGGGCTTCTGTGTCTTCCAGACTTACATGAGTGGCCTTCTAGTGTGGGTGTCCTGTGGGGCCAGTGGCACAGACTCCCTGTTATTCCAAGCTGGGTGCTGTACGTGTGTCCCTTGTGTGGTTTGCCTG